TGTGTGCCTGTGTGTGTGCCTGTGTGTGTGCCTGTGTGTGTGCCTGTGTGTGTGCCTGTGTGTGTGCCTGTGTGTGTGCCTGTGTGTGTGCCTGTGTGTGTGCCTGTGTGTGTGTCTGTGTGTGTGTCTGTGTGTGTGTGTCTGTGTGTGTGGCAAAGGGGCTGTACTGTTGGTGTCTGCGGGGATCAATAGATGAGGATTTTCAGAGCACTCTGCCCTGGGCCCGGTGCTGCACCGCGGACTCATTCATCACCCAGACACAGGAATGAGAGATGATGCGGTTTTATTCAAAATCCGCAGTCTGGAACTGACTGCCACGGGTTGCATGAGGGTCACAGGACACAAGGGACCAAGGCATAAAATGGTGACAATTAATTTCTGGTAGATGAAAAGTAACGCATGAGGAAAAAGAAACTATGTGTATGCATGTACATCCAAACCAATCACACATATTCAGTGGTGGCAGCTCTTCAGGAAATGTCAGCTTAATGTTCAGTACAGACCAAAGAAGCAAGCAGAGCATTGGCAGTGACTATAAAAGGGAGAGTGAGCAAAACAAGATGCGTGAGTGTATTAGTATATAGAGGAGTCTATAAATCTAGAGCACCCCCACTGTGTATGAACACCACATGTGCTTTTCCTTCCAGCTCAGCAGAGGTGTAGAAATAGAGACAGAACAGATTAGGCCTCCAAACTGGAAAAAAGACTGAAGGAGTCTGTGACAGGGGTCTGGAAAACCAGCGATGGTTTGGAGATAAATAGATACAAACTAATCATTACTTTGTATAATTCGAGACCAAGGAGGCACCCACTGACACAATCCAGCAGCAGGTGTAAACAAAGAAGACATTTTTATAACCAATTCTTAAATGAAGGAACTCACAGCAACAAGCTGTTGTGGAGTTAAATGAATAAACTGGCTCACAAGGAGCCTGGAGAAGTGATGGGGGATGGATCCAGGAGCTGCCACTGACCCCAGCAGGAGCTCTACATTCTGGGGATTTATTGGAGCAATAAGAAGACCCTGACTGGCCCAAGAAGACCAAGAGAGTACACAAACCATCCACTGCATCCTCCTATCTTCCCATCCTGCCCTTGCTTTTCAATCCCTGCAGCAATTTCCACAGTCTCCTATAAACCCTCCCCTTCTTCCTTTCTCCTCTGGGACCTGCTGCCTACCCCACAGGTCCCTTCCCCATGCAGCAGCATGCTGTGCCTCCTCCATCCCTTCAAAGGTTGCCCACCTTGCATGCAAGGTGGCAGACGCTCCTCTCCACTGTTCCCACAGCTCTGACAGCAGCAGGACAAGGAGAAGCAGAATACCCTGCTGCCCCAACATGGCCTTTAAAGAAACCTGCTGCCTATCAGACTTTCACAGGACTCTACCTATACGAGCGTTAATCAATGGACTGGAGACAGGATTCTCTAGGACACTTGAATTTTTATCATGTCTACTTGCCATTTGTGGGTCTATTTGACTTATTTTGCAGCACCACATGAAGCTGCTACAGGAGTTTTCATCCCCACCATTTGCAAGGCCTTTTTCCTGCTCACCTCCCACAGCAACTCCCATATGGCCATGCCTCTCCACAGCAGGAAGAAGAGGATGTAACTCATGGCACCCCCTGTTTTTGTCCATCTGATGCAGCAATCATCTGCCAGGCACCTCAAAGAGTCAGCCTGCTTTGATTTCCAATGGAAGCAATAAGTGTGCTAAAAGGCCACACTCTGCAGGTTTTCCTTTATTTTCTTGTGTCATTCC